TCGTTTGTACAGGTGATTGACTTATACAGGTGGTCGTTTGTTTAGGTGGTTGACTTATAATACAGGTGGTCGTTTGTACAGGTGATTGACTTATACATGTAGCGTTAGCGTAAGGTCGATTGACTTATACAGGTGGTCGTTTGTACAGGTGATTGACCTATATAGGTTTCCGTTTGTGTTAGAGAAGGTTCGATTGTACTTACACAAGTCGTGGTTGAGATGGCCTCAGGGCTTCTAGGTGTGTGTGGTTCTCTCGCACTTGGCTTTGTGTCCACATGATATTGGAGGTGGTCGCTTGCACAGGTGATTGACTTATACAGGTGGTCGTGTATACAGGTGATTGACTTATACAGGGGGCCGTTTGTGTTAGAGATGGTTGGATTGTACTTACACAAGTTATGGTTGAGATGGCTTTTGTGTTCCTTGGTTTGTGTGTGCTCCTCGCACTTGGCTTTGTGTCCACGCGGTATTCGAGGTGGGCGGGGCTGGGGGCTAGGGACGTGAGCTGGCTGAAAGATGGGGAAGAACCGCTTACAAACGGTAATGATCTGTCTGTCTGTCTGTCTGTCTGTCGGTCTGTCGGTCTATCTGTCGGTCTATCTGTCTATCTGTCTGTCTATCTGTCTGTCTATCTATCTATATATCTGTGGGTGGTTGGCGGGTGCTCTGGTGTGGTTTGCTTCTTCTTTCCTATCACACATCCATCTTCTTTATCTCCCCTCCTTCTTTTTTGTGTTGGTTACTCCCTTGTTGTAACACCTCTAAGCTTTGGCACTTATATGACCTTATTGTGTTGCAAGTGCCGTAAAACTCTTACTAAAACTAAAACTAAACTCTATCTATCTGCTCTAGTACTTATTCTACACACACGAAAGTGTTGTATCATCAGCTCCAATAAAGTCTTTTTGAGGGTTTTTTCCATTCTATGAATTAGGTGTATTGTTGAAAAAAAATTAAAAATTTAACAAACAAACAAAAAAACTCCTTTCTGTTGGACAGCCCCGTATCGTAGTTAGATGGACATGTTTGTATCTCTGCGATTTTTGTGTCCGTGCGCTCCGTCTCTTCTTCTGTCCCTCCGTTGTTTCTGTCTGTTGATCTTGCTTTGTACCCACGCATTATTGCGTTATTGAGTCGACTTGCTTCTTTTTACGAAAACATATATATATA